TTTTCTATGCTGTCGACTTGGTCTTTGTTACTCCATATGTGGTCGAATTAGCATCGGTAGCTGCTTACGAAACACGCTTACACTGACGTAGGTGGGTTGCATGACTATCTTGGCCTGCAGTTACCTAGGGATTGAGTTACGTGCACTATCACCCTGACTTAGTCACACATGGTGTAGCAAATCCTCTACCGCCTCAATTTCAACCTTCAGTCCTCCTCTGCCTATTCAACTCCTTCGCATGTTGGCCATACGCTCTCGGCCCCTGTCTTTAACAAGCACAGTTGAGCCCAAGTGAGTCAGCACGCAGAGGTGGTAGGGTTGCCATTATGTACCTGATGACTTGCATTCGACCAAACCTCGCATATCCTCTCAACATCCTTGCTCGCCTTTGTTGCGAACGGGATACACCGACCTGGGCACTGGTCGGCTGCTAGAGGGTATTGCGCTACTGGATAGTGCATCAGACATGGGCTTATGCTCGGTGGACCGACATCTAGTTGCACTCATTAGACACATGGATGCGTCGAGGGCAGACGACATTGAGACTCTTTAAATCCTCTCAGGGTAACTGCTTTTGTCTTGGCGCCGGAGCTGTCTCGTAAGGTCCACTCGCTCGTCGTCAATGGCATAGTCCAGCCATGAGGCGGAGATCTACGCTGATGCTCTGTATGCTCATGAGCTCCGCTGGCTGACGCTCTTGCTCACTGACTTATGTGAGCCGCCTAGCTCTGCCCCGGCCCTGTTCACTGATAACATGGCCATGATCCTCCTGCGTCAGGAGCCAATGCCAGAGGGTAGAGCGAAGCATATTCAGCTGCGGTACGTCCTGCTACGTGAGTTACAGCAGCGTGGCCAGGCACGCGTAGTACGCTTGGTCTCAAAGACCAACACTGCTGATATCTTCACTAAGGCGCTTCTGCCTCGTGACCACCAGCGGTTCAGCACACATCTTGGCTTTGTCCCAGCATTTTCTCACTTGTTTTGATCGTGATCTCTTGTTTTTGTTTTATTATACTCATTTGCTAGCATTGCGGCCCTTTGTCTTAAAGACTGGGTTAGTGGTATGGCAGTAAGTTGTACCTCATAGACTTTGTACTTCTTGCTAATTGACCTTGTTGCCTCTTGCTTCAATGGTTGGACTAGTGGTGTGTCTCACTTGTTAGGCGCAACCCCCTACCCTAACTAGGGGGTGTGTCAACGTACATATTTATATTTGTATGTGTACTATTGCAAGTTAGGTTGGGGTGCCCTATCGAGGGTAGAGGATTGCATATAGCCCCCCGTCTGTTCTCATTTTACTCATTCCATTCTCTTGTGGGTAGAGTTGGGTATGCGGATGACAACAGAGGTAATTGTGAGGTTTGGGCCTTCTATATGTTGTGCGACCTGGTGTGGGTGAAGAGGAGGGGGGAGAGGGGGGGGGGAGGGGGAGGAGAGGGAGCGGGAGAGGGGGAGAGGGAGGGGAAAAAGTGGGGAGAAGAGGACAGAAGGGGAACGATGTTCATCATTAGGGCGGCAAGGTTTGAACTGGAAGTTGGGTGTGTGGATAATTTCTTACATGAGTGTGAGGCATGGGACTGTCATGCACTGAATGCGGCATAGCGTAGGGAATTTGGGGGAGGGGGGAGTGGGGGGGGGGGGAGGTTTGGGGCGGGGGGCAAGGTGAAGGGAACGGGAAGAAGAGGAAAGGAGGAAGAAGATGGAAGACGATAAAATATGAGGGGAGGTGAGTAACCGATAGAGAGATGGGAATTTTGTTGGGGATTCAGAGTGGTGATTGGGAGTGGGGACTAGGAGAAGGAGCTGGAAGTGGGAGTTTGGGATGAATGTGTACCTGTTGCATTGGTGCATTCAATAAGATCAGCTCCCCCCCCAACAGCAACGGAAGCATCACATGTGCTTCCCCCATAGTAGTCAATTTCACTAGATGGGAGCCCTCCTCATGAGAAGCGCCTGGTGAAACACGTGAAAAAACATAACCTGCTGATGTTTCTGCTGCATATAAGAGAACGGGTGAGGATTCAGATATATGACGAGGACAAAGCCTTTGTGCCATGAGAGTGGGGGTGAGGGAGGAGGAAAATGAGGCGCTGTAGGAGGACTAGAGAGAGAGGGACTGGTTGAGAGTGAGAGAGTGCACGAAGGTGGAGAAAGGAGGGGAAGGGGAAGATGGATTTTCGCTGGTTGACTTGATGTATGAGGGGTGAGGGGGCGAATGAGAAGAGTGAGAGGAGGCGTAAGAGGAGAAGGAAACGAGCTTTCTTGAGAGAGCCTAGTTACAAGAGGGGTCGAGTGTAGGCACAGGTTTGGGCATGGGAGGTAGCCTCTGATGGTGAGGTGTTCAACCCAAGCCAGTCATTTTGAACGTAGGTGTTGTATGAGATGTAGAAGTTAACCTAGTAAGTAACATAGTTTAGCTACTGTTACGGGTGCAATGAATCGAAGTAGCGAGAATTGCACTAAGGTGTCAAACGAGTACAAAATGTGAGCGAAGGCATGAGCGAACATTTATACGCGAAACATGCAAACGGTAACGCGGTGCGTGCGAGCTAGCTAGTGCTACGCTGGCAGCGAGGCTCGGGCTAGTCCCGAAGCGTAGGCCGACACGGCCGGGCCAGCAGTGCGAGGTTTGGTGAAACAGTGCGCGCGAAGTCGGCGAAGCCCCGTTAGCAGTAACGGGCGAACAACGGCTGCTGCTGTACGCGATGTTGCAGGGTGCGCTAAGGAATATAGAGAAAATTCCTTACAGCTACCTGCATTGTACTTATTTGGATTCTACAGCTTGTGCCGCTTATCTGGGAGGTGCGCCTAGCTCCACAGTTGCGCTCCATCTCGCATGGCTACTTGAGGTCAAGGTTGCCGAAGCTCTTACGTTCGTTCGGTAAGTGTCAAGACAGTACATATCGACGGCTCACAAGATTGCAGTAAATCCGTACCTTCCATCGATGGCGATCACAGAGACACCACCAATAAGGCAACCCTTTGCGTTTCGGTCTCAACGGCAAGCGCAAAACCAACCACAATTGCGCCTCGACATATGCGATAGTCGATCACATATGCGACGCCTGCGACATTCGGAATTTGCAGACCTGCAGACCGTGAGATACAATTATGGGAAAAGATCATACAGGGGCCTAACAGTGCCAGGGAGGTGATCGAACAAGGGCCGAGAGGCCCGGAACTAACCAAACCACTGCGCAAAAAAGTATTTGCAGAGTGTCATCATTTATTTAACGTATGTCCGTTAACAGTTTGCATTCCAGCTCGCGCGTCATTTTTCATGGGAATATTTACTGATTCATCACCTTCCACCCAATAGCGTCGTTTAGCAAGCCAGAAACTCCTAGGGCAGCCAAAAAACTAAAACCCCGAGGGGAACCTTGATGCAATTTCGGGATGGATCAACCCTAAAAACGGGAACCTTCGTTGTGTTTAGGGTTGATGCCTCCCTAGTCGCATCCATTTCCAAATGGGTATTTTTTTTTTCTGCGCGTTTCTGATCAGGGAGTGATATTTATCACCCATAATGAATTTGTTTTTGGACTCACAAATTAACACAGCAATATTTACTTCCAGAAGAACGCGATGTGCGCGTAGTAGTAGACGGTGGTCGTAACCATTTTTTCAATAAGTTGGACACGAAGTTTTGTGCTGGTAGCATTTCTCTTTCAGTCACGGTTCGGCTTGTTCGCCTAGCCTCTTGGGCAGCTCGGGGTAGAAATCCTACGGTCGAGATTTTCTGGCCCTACTTCGGTCATCCCTCTGGCACTCTTCGGCCCCAGTTTGATCATTTCCTCACAATTATAGTAAAAACAGGGGCTGCTGCGACAATCACCATCGTGGAAGGGGCGACGATTAGGTAAACGTCGCGCAACAAATGGTTCGCTTCAGTCGGGCACCCCTCCGAACCGAAGGTCGTGATGGCATGTGCTTCACAATGGCCCTTGCGTGCATGCGTCACGTTCGGTGGCGCATTTACGGCTCCGCGCAACTAGAAGCCAAAGTTGGCTTGGCTCTCTATTTATTCAGTCCACAACCACTCCCATCTAACCGTCTCCCACATTCATTCGGTGCCCAGCAGTGCAGTAACTGCTGACTGACGTTCTCGTCTGTTTCAATTTCGGAATTCCCACGTGAGTGCAGTTCACTTTCTTCACCGTGACTGCTAATACTAGTAATGGCTTCGCTCCTCCGACTGGCGGTCATATTGCTGACCGTAGCCAGCGCGTCCCTCCTTCACACGACTACGGCGGACCTCCTGCTGAGGCCAGAGCGCGTGCCTCGCGCGCAGTTCCGCATTCGCTGCAACTTCAGCCACGCGCTGCGGGATGACCCCATCGTCTTCCCTGGGCAGCCCGGCAAGTCCCACCTGCACGACTTCCTCGGCAGCACGATCACCAAAGCCGACACCACCGATGGTCAGTACTGCCAATGCCAAAGCTTGCTGGGATCACAAGGCTCGCTCCACCACTCAACACGAGCGCGTGCTGGTTTCTAATTTCCTCCCTCATCAAACCCCTCTTGACCGTTTCTTTCCTCCCATCGTGCCACGCGACAGCCAGGGCGCTGGTGGGCAGCAAGACAACGTGCGGGCTGAAGGCGGACTCAGCAGCGTACTGGTTCCCGTCCATGTTCATGCGCACCAACCAGAAGGACGCCAAGGGCCAGTACATCTACAAGCACGTGAGTCATGCCACGCTGAATAATTCACACGCTTGGGGGCGCACGTCGGGAAGATTTTGCAACATGCAAAAGGAGGAGCAGAAAAAAAACCAAAACAAGGCGGAAACCAAACGGAAACGTTATGTTCTCGATACCCTTCGCTCTTCGTTCATGTGCGCGTGGATCATTTTTATTTTCTTCCTCCCCTCCCTTTCCACCTCCGCCCCTGTGCTGCAGTTAAAGCCCAACTGGACGCTCTTCTACTACCGCACGTCCGTCAAGAACCCGGAAACCATCATGCCCTTCCCGCGGGGCTTCCGGATGATCACAGGCAACCCATTCGCAGGATCTGTATGTTCCCCTCTCCCTTTTCGTCCTTCAAATAACATTTTGAGATTCGCAGTTTCTTGATTAAGCAATTTTGTCATTTTATAGAGAGTACTTGGTGTTCATTTCCCCTGCATACCGTCCCCAACTTCCCATCATTTTCTCGACACAGAAACAAGCTGACGACATGGCGAACGTGGAATGGTGGTGCGGCGCGCGCGGCAAGCACGGTAACGACTTCCCGCACCAGAAGTGTCCTGCAGGCGACCAGCTGATCGGCAAGATCAACTTCCCCGTGTGCTGGGACGGCAAGAACACCGACAGCGCGGATCACCGCAGCCACGTGGTGCACATCCCGCTCAACACCACGTGCCCGTCGTCCCACCCCGTGCCGCTGCCGCGCATCAGCATCAAGGTGTACTACCCCGTCGACACGGACCTCGACCTCACGTGGCCCGAGAACGGCGTCAAGGGCAACCCCGCTGTCTACCTCTCCACCATACAGAGCGGCGGCACGGGCAGCCCCTTTGAGTATCACAGCGACTTTATCAACGGGTGGGACCAGAAGGTGCTTGGCCGACTCGTGAGGAAGTGCATCAACCGCAACAAGAAGTGTCTCGTGCAGGAAGACAATCATGTGTAAACGCAGGAAAGCTGGGCGGTGGCATGTGAATGTGAAGGATGTAGTGGGTCTAGTGAGTTAAAATGTAGACTTGTTCACAACCTAGTGTGGGTGATGTTGGGAGATGCGTAGTCAGATGCGGGGTGTTTATGAAGGTCACGCACAGCTCGTGGGTGACGTTTCCTCTAGTCGAGTGATTTGGGAGGGGTTGGGTTGAGAGGAGGGAATTCATGCTGTGGCTCTGCTCATTTCGATGCAGTCCCGTGTGAACCACCGCCCTGTTACCCATGTTCTCTTTGTTAATTCCTGCGTTTGTAGAGTTGTGAGGCATCCACAAGGTATTGAATATTTACATGAATTACAGATGAGATGTACTGAACTGCTTTGGATAAGAGTAATCGTGACTGTCATTCCACGTCAATCACAACGCTTTCCTCGCTGGAGCAGCACTTGGGATTCGCCGTAGAATGTTGATGACTCGCACCGCGAATGGAAACCGCAGCTTGAATCATCGGCGGCGCACCATCGTCAGCGGAATCATGCGTTGCGGTCTTCAACTCTTGGGGTTTCCGCCAGAGCGGAAAAACCTTCAGCGCATCACACCATCGGTGTCCAAAATTTCAGGGAAGATTCAAACGTTCAATATTCAGCCATGTTATTGTATGTGGGTCGGTCCTCAAGACGGATGAGGGCGATTGAACATATCTGGCCTACCATCGTGCACCCTACTCTTCCAGCTTGGCAAACATGGGTAACCCCAAGAATCCACGCTCAGGGCGTCACTAACCTGGGCTGGCGAAACTTTTGTGCTCGTCTGTGTCGTCTGACTAGCCCCTGGCGACACTCACCGCTTTGACAATGGAAGGTTGCAGTGCGACTGTTTCCCATACATATCAATAGTCACAGATTTCAGTTACTACGTGGTATCCCAGTAACCTCTGTTTCCAGTTTGGTGTTCACTTTTTATGGAACAGCATCGAGTCGTCTGTCGCTTCCCGTAATTCCGCCCTTGCTTCAAATCCAAACTCCACCACACCACATCCCCTCGTAATTTTCCATTCTCATTTCGAGACCCAATCGGATCTGGCAAGCCTTCCAACTGCGTAGGCACTGCTGTTGCAATGGCGACTGCCACAATCAGCCCGCTCTTCGCGCATGCGCCTGCGGCTCTCGCGAGCAGTTCCGCCGCCTCGCCGCGAACTGGACTCAGAGCCTCGCCGTTCCTCCCGCGCCAGCGAGATGCCACAAGGCGCATCGTGCAATCACGTGGGGCAACCCGATGTGCAGTGGCTGACGTGGCAAGAAGAGAGGATGAGCGGAGCAACGATCAGCTGGGCGGAGATCTGCCTCAGGTGCGCGCGGGAAGCCATCGATGGCGCGCCAGCCTGTATGCATGACTAAACAATTCTGCTTCCGCGCCGCCACGGACATTCCTGGCATATTGCAAGGCGATTGGTCACACTTTAATGACACGTCACGAGGCGGGTTACATCTGTACGATGCAGGAAGGAGACGCCACTCTGTGCCATGCCTTGAATTCAGCTTCTCGCCTTTGCTGCCTTTTTATACGCTAATTCCGCCCCTAATCGACAATGATTTGGTGTTGGAATGTTTGCCGACTAAGAATCGGCGCGTGATTGGCCCCAATCCTGCTTTCCCAGGAGCAAGGTTCGCGTCTTGCACGCCAGCGGCCCTCAGTTCTTTCACTCCCCCTTCCATGCGCAGGCGGCCGATCAGTCAGCGCAGCTGGCGGCGGATCTGGCGGGCAACGGGTGGCGCAGCACGCGGCGCACGAAGCTGGTGTGCACCATCGGGCCGGCGTGCTGCGGCTTCGAGCAGATCGCGGCGCTGGCGGAGGGCGGCATGAACGTCGCGCGCATCAACATGTGCCACGGCACGCACGCGTGGCACCGGTAGGTCACGGCGCGCACGCGTGGCACCGAGAGGAGCCATGGCATGAGCGAGGGCTGAGTGGCATGGGTAGGGCATGGTGGATGGCACGGGCAGGACTCCCTGGCACAGGTGCAGCGAGAGGTGACGCACGGGGGGCACTCGAATGGCTCGCTGCAATTGGTGTCCATCTGCCGCCCACCACCACCATCGCCACGCGTCCCGTCGCCGCGTTCCATCGTCCACCATCCATCCATACCCATCCATGCCCTTGCTGCCGCGTGCCCCCCCCTCCCCCCCTCCCATGCGCGCAGGCAGGTGATGGCGGACATCCGGCGGCTGAACGAGGAGCGCGGGTACAGCGTGGCGGTGATGATGGACACGGAGGGCAGCGAGATCCACATGAGCGACCTCCAGGGCGCGCCCTCCGCTAAAGTCGCGGTCAGTCCCACCCCCAGGCATGCCGTGGCGTGGCGTGGTGTGGCGTGGCGTGGCTTGACGCGTGGTGGCATGCATGGGTGTTGGAAAGGGGTTGGGAATGAGAGGGGCTGCTGTGGGACTGGAGGGCAGGGTCGCTCACAGGTCAACGGTCAACAGGTCAACATGTCAGCAGGTCAACAGGTCAACAGCCCCAGCCTGTGGCATCCGCAGCCCTCGCACACCTCCGTCACCGCTCCCTCTCACTGCTCCCACCGTGCCCGCCTCCCTTCGCTCCCTCCCACTCCGCCCTCGCCCCCGTCTCGCCACCAGGAGGACGACGTGTGGACGTTCACGGTGCGCAAGTTCCCCGACGGCATGGCGCTGCCGCCCAACACCGTGCACGTCAACTACGACGGCTTCATTGACGGTGCGTGCCTCACGGGTTCATGCGCGCACAAGTTCATGTGTTGCCTTGCTGACGTGGTGGGGGCGCCGCTATTGTGTGGACACCTTCCCTTTACTTCCTCCACCTTCTCTGCTCCACGCTCCCACCACCCCAATTTTCCCAATACCCATCGCTTCCGCCCTCCCCTCTCCCCCCCCCACCTCTCATCAGACGTGAGGGAGGGCGACGAGTTGGTGGTGGATGGGGGCATGGCGCGGCTGCAGGTGGCGGCGCGCATGGGGCCCGACGTGGTGTGCAGTGTGCTGGACCCGGGGCTGCTGCTGCCACGCGCCAACCTCACCATCTTCCGCAACGGCCAGCTCGTGCGCGCCACCAACGCCATGCTGCCCACCATCTCCTCCAAGGTCAGCCCCTTGTGCCACTCTGCACCACCATGCACCACTCTGCACCACCATGCACCACCATGCCCTGCCGTGGACAGCCATGCACCACCCTGCACCATGACTTGATAATCCGACCATGCATCATCCCTGCCTCTCACGTCCATCGCTGCTGCATTCTGTCCTTCCATCCCCCCCTCGCCATCCGTCCCTCCCCCTGTGGCAGGACTGGATAGACATAGACTTTGGAATAGCGGAGGGGGTGGACTTCATAGCCATCTCCTTCGTGCGCTCGCCTGAGGTCGTCACTCACCTCCGCAGCTACGTCAACGCGCGCTCGCCCTCCCGGTGCGTGCCGTGTGGTGGCTGTGGTGCAGGTGGGTGCAGCTGTCTCGACTCCGTTGCATCACACTCATTCACCCGCACCTCTCTCATCCACCTGTGCGCCGCCTTCCTCCTGGGTACCTGCCACCATAAGTTCACAGCACCTGCCTCTTCACCTCCTCACTTCCTCTCTCCGCTTTCACCCATCATCACCACACCCCCCTTCCTCACTCCCCTCCTCCGTCTTCCTGTCTTCCCCCAGCCCCATAGCGCTGATAGCCAAGATAGAGAGTGTGGAGGCGGTGGGGCGGCTGGAGGAGATCATAGCGGCGTCGGACGGGGCGATGGTGGCGAGGGGCGACCTGGGCGCGCAGGTGCCGCTGGAGGAGGTGCCGGGCGTGCAGCAGGACATGGTGGACATCTGCCGCGCCCTCAACAAGCCTGTCATCGTCGCCTCGCACCTCCTCGAGTCCATGATCGAGTTCCCCATCCCCACCCGCGCTGAGGTGTGATCGAGTTCCCCATCCCCACCCGCGCTGAGGTGTGATCGAGTTCCCCATCCCCACCCGCGCTGAGGTGTGATCGAGTTCCCCATCCCCACCCGCGCTGAGGTGTGATCGAGTTCCCCATCCCCACCCGCGCTGAGGTGTGATCGAGTTCCCCATCCCCACCCGCGCTGAGGTGTGATCGAGTTCCCCATCCCCACCCGCGCTGAGGTGTGATCGAGTTCCCCATCCCCACCCGCGCTGAGGTGTGATCGAGTTCCCCATCCCCACCCGCGCTGAGGTGTGATCGAGTTCCCCATCCCCACCCGCGCTGAGGTGTGATCGAGTTCCCCATCCCCACCCGCGCTGAGGTGTGATCGAGTTCCCCATCCCCACCCGCGCTGAGGTGTGATCGAGTTCCCCATCCCCACCCGCGCTGAGGTGTGATCGAGTTCCCCATCCCCACCCGCGCTGAGGTGTGATCGAGTTCCCCATCCCCACCCGCGCTGAGGTGTGATCGAGTTCCCCATCCCCACCCGCGCTGAGGTGTGATCGAGTTCCCCATCCCCACCCGCGCTGAGGTGTGATCGAGTTCCCCATCCCCACCCGCGCTGAGGTGTGATCGAGTTCCCCATCCCCACCCGCGCTGAGGTGTGATCGAGTTCCCCATCCCCACCCGCGCTGAGGTGTGATCGAGTTCCCCATCCCCACCCGCGCTGAGGTGTGATCGAGTTCCCCATCCCCACCCGCGCTGAGGTGTGATCGAGTTCCCCATCCCCACCCGCGCTGAGGTGTGATCGAGTTCCCCATCCCCACCCGCGCTGAGGTGTGATCGAGTTCCCCATCCCCACCCGCGCTGAGGTGTGATCGAGTTCCCCATCCCCACCCGCGCTGAGGTGTGATCGAGTTCCCCATCCCCACCCGCGCTGAGGTGTGATCGAGTTCCCCATCCCCACCCGCGCTGAGGTGTGATCGAGTTCCCCATCCCCACCCGCGCTGAGGTGTGATCGAGTTCCCCATCCCCACCCGCGCTGAGGTGTGATCGAGTTCCCCATCCCCACCCGCGCTGAGGTGTGATCGAGTTCCCCATCCCCACCCGCGCTGAGGTGTGATCGAGTTCCCCATCCCCACCCGCGCTGAGGTGTGATCGAGTTCCCCATCCCCACCCGCGCTGAGGTGTGATCGAGTTCCCCATCCCCACCCGCGCTGAGGTGTGATCGAGTTCCCCATCCCCACCCGCGCTGAGGTGTGATCGAGTTCCCCATCCCCACCCGCGCTGAGGTGTGATCGAGTTCCCCATCCCCACCCGCGCTGAGGTGTGATCGAGTTCCCCATCCCCACCCGCGCTGAGGTGTGATCGAGTTCCCCATCCCCACCCGCGCTGAGGTGTGATCGAGTTCCCCATCCCCACCCGCGCTGAGGTGTGATCGAGTTCCCCATCCCCACCCGCGCTGAGGTGTGATCGAGTTCCCCATCCCCACCCGCGCTGAGGTGTGATCGAGTTCCCCATCCCCACCCGCGCTGAGGTGTGATCGAGTTCCCCATCCCCACCCGCGCTGAGGTGTGATCGAGTTCCCCATCCCCACCCGCGCTGAGGTGTGATCGAGTTCCCCATCCCCACCCGCGCTGAGGTGTGATCGAGTTCCCCATCCCCACCCGCGCTGAGGTGTGATCGAGTTCCCCATCCCCACCCGCGCTGAGGTGTGATCGAGTTCCCCATCCCCACCCGCGCTGAGGTGTGATCGAGTTCCCCATCCCCACCCGCGCTGAGGTGTGATCGAGTTCCCCATCCCCACCCGCGCTGAGGTGTGATCGAGTTCCCCATCCCCACCCGCGCTGAGGTGTGATCGAGTTCCCCATCCCCACCCGCGCTGAGGTGTGATCGAGTTCCCCATCCCCACCCGCGCTGAGGTGTGATCGAGTTCCCCATCCCCACCCGCGCTGAGGTGTGATCGAGTTCCCCATCCCCACCCGCGCTGAGGTGTGATCGAGTTCCCCATCCCCACCCGCGCTGAGGTGTGATCGAGTTCCCCATCCCCACCCGCGCTGAGGTGTGATCGAGTTCCCCATCCCCACCCGCGCTGAGGTGTGATCGAGTTCCCCATCCCCACCCGCGCTGAGGTGTGATCGAGTTCCCCATCCCCACCCGCGCTGAGGTGTGATCGAGTTCCCCATCCCCACCCGCGCTGAGGTGTGATCGAGTTCCCCATCCCCACCCGCGCTGAGGTGTGATCGAGTTCCCCATCCCCACCCGCGCTGAGGTGTGATCGAGTTCCCCATCCCCACCCGCGCTGAGGTGTGATCGAGTTCCCCATCCCCACCCGCGCTGAGGTGTGATCGAGTTCCCCATCCCCACCCGCGCTGAGGTGTGATCGAGTTCCCCATCCCCACCCGCGCTGAGGTGTGATCGAGTTCCCCATCCCCACCCGCGCTGAGGTGTGATCGAGTTCCCCATCCCCACCCGCGCTGAGGTGTGATCGAGTTCCCCATCCCCACCCGCGCTGAGGTGTGATCGAGTTCCCCATCCCCACCCGCGCTGAGGTGTGATCGAGTTCCCCATCCCCACCCGCGCTGAGGTGTGATCGAGTTCCCCATCCCCACCCGCGCTGAGGTGTGATCGAGTTCCCCATCCCCACCCGCGCTGAGGTGTGATCGAGTTCCCCATCCCCACCCGCGCTGAGGTGTGATCGAGTTCCCCATCCCCACCCGCGCTGAGGTGTGATCGAGTTCCCCATCCCCACCCGCGCTGAGGTGTGATCGAGTTCCCCATCCCCACCCGCGCTGAGGTGTGATCGAGTTCCCCATCCCCACCCGCGCTGAGGTGTGATCGAGTTCCCCATCCCCACCCGCGCTGAGGTGTGATCGAGTTCCCCATCCCCACCCGCGCTGAGGTGTGATCGAGTTCCCCATCCCCACCCGCGCTGAGGTGTGATCGAGTTCCCCATCCCCACCCGCGCTGAGGTGTGATCGAGTTCCCCATCCCCACCCGCGCTGAGGTGTGATCGAGTTCCCCATCCCCACCCGCGCTGAGGTGTGATCGAGTTCCCCATCCCCACCCGCGCTGAGGTGTGATCGAGTTCCCCATCCCCACCCGCGCTGAGGTGTGATCGAGTTCCCCATCCCCACCCGCGCTGAGGTGTGATCGAGTTCCCCATCCCCACCCGCGCTGAGGTGTGATCGAGTTCCCCATCCCCACCCGCGCTGAGGTGTGATCGAGTTCCCCATCCCCACCCGCGCTGAGGTGTGATCGAGTTCCCCATCCCCACCCGCGCTGAGGTGTGATCGAGTTCCCCATCCCCACCCGCGCTGAGGTGTGATCGAGTTCCCCATCCCCACCCGCGCTGAGGTGTGATCGAGTTCCCCATCCCCACCCGCGCTGAGGTGTGATCGAGTTCCCCATCCCCACCCGCGCTGAGGTGTGATCGAGTTCCCCATCCCCACCCGCGCTGAGGTGTGATCGAGTTCCCCATCCCCACCCGCGCTGAGGTGTGATCGAGTTCCCCATCCCCACCCGCGCTGAGGTGTGATCGAGTTCCCCATCCCCACCCGCGCTGAGGTGTGATCGAGTTCCCCATCCCCACCCGCGCTGAGGTGTGATCGAGTTCCCCATCCCCACCCGCGCTGAGGTGTGATCGAGTTCCCCATCCCCACCCGCGCTGAGGTGTGATCGAGTTCCCCATCCCCACCCGCGCTGAGGTGTGATCGAGTTCCCCATCCCCACCCGCGCTGAGGTGTGATCGAGTTCCCCATCCCCACCCGCGCTGAGGTGTGATCGAGTTCCCCATCCCCACCCGCGCTGAGGTGTGATCGAGTTCCCCATCCCCACCCGCGCTGAGGTGTGATCGAGTTCCCCATCCCCACCCGCGCTGAGGTGTGATCGAGTTCCCCATCCCCACCCGCGCTGAGGTGTGATCGAGTTCCCCATCCCCACCCGCGCTGAGGTGTGATCGAGTTCCCCATCCCCACCCGCGCTGAGGTGTGATCGAGTTCCCCATCCCCACCCGCGCTGAGGTGTGATCGAGTTCCCCATCCCCACCCGCGCTGAGGTGTGATCGAGTTCCCCATCCCCACCCGCGCTGAGGTGTGATCGAGTTCCCCATCCCCACCCGCGCTGAGGTGTGATCGAGTTCCCCATCCCCACCCGCGCTGAGGTGTGATCGAGTTCCCCATCCCCACCCGCGCTGAGGTGTGATCGAGTTCCCCATCCCCACCCGCGCTGAGGTGTGATCGAGTTCCCCATCCCCACCCGCGCTGAGGTGTGATCGAGTTCCCCATCCCCACCCGCGCTGAGGTGTGATCGAGTTCCCCATCCCCACCCGCGCTGAGGTGTGATCGAGTTCCCCATCCCCACCCGCGCTGAGGTGTGATCGAGTTCCCCATCCCCACCCGCGCTGAGGTGTGATCGAGTTCCCCATCCCCACCCGCGCTGAGGTGTGATCGAGTTCCCCATCCCCACCCGCGCTGAGGTGTGATCGAGTTCCCCATCCCCACCCGCGCTGAGGTGTGATCGAGTTCCCCATCCCCACCCGCGCTGAGGTGTGATCGAGTTCCCCATCCCCACCCGCGCTGAGGTGTGATCGAGTTCCCCATCCCCACCCGCGCTGAGGTGTGATCGAGTTCCCCATCCCCACCCGCGCTGAGGTGTGATCGAGTTCCCCATCCCCACCCGCGCTGAGGTGTGATCGAGTTCCCCATCCCCACCCGCGCTGAGGTGTGATCGAGTTCCCCATCCCCACCCGCGCTGAGGTGTGATCGAGTTCCCCATCCCCACCCGCGCTGAGGTGTGATCGAGTTCCCCATCCCCACCCGCGCTGAGGTGTGATCGAGTTCCCCATCCCCACCCGCGCTGAGGTGTGATCGAGTTCCCCATCCCCACCCGCGCTGAGGTGTGATCGAGTTCCCCATCCCCACCCGCGCTGAGGTGTGATCGAGTTCCCCATCCCCACCCGCGCTGAGGTGTGATCGAGTTCCCCATCCCCACCCGCGCTGAGGTGTGATCGAGTTCCCCATCCCCACCCGCGCTGAGGTGTGATCGAGTTCCCCATCCCCACCCGCGCTGAGGTGTGATCGAGTTCCCCATCCCCACCCGCGCTGAGGTGTGATCGAGTTCCCCATCCCCACCCGCGCTGAGGTGTGATCGAGTTCCCCATCCCCACCCGCGCTGAGGTGTGATCGAGTTCCCCATCCCCACCCGCGCTGAGGTGTGATCGAGTTCCCCATCCCCACCCGCGCTGAGGTGTGATCGAGTTCCCCATCCCCACCCGCGCTGAGGTGTGATCGAGTTCCCCATCCCCACCCGCGCTGAGGTGTGATCGAGTTCCCCATCCCCACCCGCGCTGAGGTGTGATCGAGTTCCCCATCCCCACCCGCGCTGAGGTGTGATCGAGTTCCCCATCCCCACCCGCGCTGAGGTGTGATCGAGTTCCCCATCCCCACCCGCGCTGAGGTGTGATCGAGTTCCCCATCCCCACCCGCGCTGAGGTGTGATCGAGTTCCCCATCCCCACCCGCGCTGAGGTGTGATCGAGTTCCCCATCCCCACCCGCGCTGAGGTGTGATCGAGTTCCCCATCCCCACCCGCGCTGAGGTGTGATCGAGTTCCCCATCCCCACCCGCGCTGAGGTGTGATCGAGTTCCCCATCCCCACCCGCGCTGAGGTGTGATCGAGTTCCCCATCCCCACCCGCGCTGAGGTGTGATCGAGTTCCCCATCCCCACCCGCGCTGAGGTGTGATCGAGTTCCCCATCCCCACCCGCGCTGAGGTGTGATCGAGTTCCCCATCCCCACCCGCGCTGAGGTGTGATCGAGTTCCCCATCCCCACCCGCGCTGAGGTGTGATCGAGTTCCCCATCCCCACCCGCGCTGAGGTGTGATCGAGTTCCCCATCCCCACCCGCGCTGAGGTGTGATCGAGTTCCCCATCCCCACCCGCGCTGAGGTGTGATCGAGTTCCCCATCCCCACCCGCGCTGAGGTGTGATCGAGTTCCCCATCCCCACCCGCGCTGAGGTGTGATCGAGTTCCCCATCCCCACCCGCGCTGAGGTGTGATCGAGTTCCCCATCCCCACCCGCGCTGAGGTGTGATCGAGTTCCCCATCCCCACCCGCGCTGAGGTGTGATCGAGTTCCCCATCCCCACCCGCGCTGAGGTGTGATCGAGTTCCCCATCCCCACCCGCGCTGAGGTGTGATCGAGTTCCCCATCCCCACCCGCGCTGAGGTGTGATCGAGTTCCCCATCCCCACCCGCGCTGAGGTGTGATCGAGTTCCCCATCCCCACCCGCGCTGAGGTGTGATCGAGTTCCCCATCCCCACCCGCGCTGAGGTGTGATCGAGTTCCCCATCCCCACCCGCGCTGAGGTGTGATCGAGTTCCCCATCCCCACCCGCGCTGAGGTGTGATCGAGTTCCCCATCCCCACCCGCGCTGAGGTGTGATCGAGTTCCCCATCCCCACCCGCGCTGAGGTGTGATCGAGTTCCCCATCCCCACCCGCGCTGAGGTGTGATCGAGTTCCCCATCCCCACCCGCGCTGAGGTGTGATCGAGTTCCCCATCCCCACCCGCGCTGAGGTGTGATCGAGTTCCCCATCCCCACCCGCGCTGAGGTGTGATCGAGTTCCCCATCCCCACCCGCGCTGAGGTGTGATCGAGTTCCCCATCCCCACCCGCGCTGAGGTGTGATCGAGTTCCCCATCCCCACCCGCGCTGAGGTGTGATCGAGTTCCCCATCCCCACCCGCGCTGAGGTGTGATCGAGTTCCCCATCCCCACCCGCGCTGAGGTGTGATCGAGTTCCCCATCCCCACCCGCGCTGAGGTGTGATCGAGTTCCCCATCCCCACCCGCGCTGAGGTGTGATCGAGTTCCCCATCCCCACCCGCGCTGAGGTGTGATCGAGTTCCCCATCCCCACCCGCGCTGAGGTGTGATCGAGTTCCCCATCCCCACCCGCGCTGAGGTGTGATCGAGTTCCCCATCCCCACCCGCGCTGAGGTGTGATCGAGTTCCCCATCCCCACCCGCGCTGAGGTGTGATCGAGTTCCCCATCCCCACCCGCGCTGAGGTGTGATCGAGTTCCCCATCCCCACCCGCGCTGAGGTGTGATCGAGTTCCCCATCCCCACCCGCGCTGAGGTGTGATCGAGTTCCCCATCCCCACCCGCGCTGAGGTGTGATCGAGTTCCCCATCCCCACCCGCGCTGAGGTGTGATCGAGTTCCCCATCCCCACCCGCGCTGAGGTGTGATCGAGTTCCCCATCCCCACCCGCGCTGAGGTGTGATCGAGTTCCCCATCCCCACCCGCGCTGAGGTGTGATCGAGTTCCCCATCCCCACCCGCGCTGAGGTGTGATCGAGTTCCCCATCCCCACCCGCGCTGAGGTGTGATCGAGTTCCCCATCCCCACCCGCGCTGAGGTGTGATCGAGTTCCCCATCCCCACCCGCGCTGAGGTGTGATCGAGTTCCCCATCCCCACCCGCGCTGAGGTGTGATCGAGTTCCCCATCCCCACCCGCGCTGAGGTGTGATCGAGTTCCCCATCCCCACCCGCGCTGAGGTGTGATCGAGTTCCCCATCCCCACCCGCGCTGAGGTGTGATCGAGTTCCCCATCCCCACCCGCGCTGAGGTGTGATCGAGTTCCCCATCCCCACCCGCGCTGAGGTGTGATCGAGTTCCCCATCCCCACCCGCGCTGAGGTGTGATCGAGTTCCCCATCCCCACCCGCGCTGAGGTGTGATCGAGTTCCCCATCCCCACCCGCGCTGAGGTGTGATCGAGTTCCCCATCCCCACCCGCGCTGAGGTGTGATCGAGTTCCCCATCCCCACCCGCGCTGAGGTGTGATCGAGTTCCCCATCCCCACCCGCGCTGAGGTGTGATCGAGTTCCCCATCCCCACCCGCGCTGAGGTGTGATCGAGTTCCCCATCCCCACCCGCGCTGAGGTGTGATCGAGTTCCCCATCCCCACCCGCGCTGAGGTGTGATCGAGTTCCCCATCCCCACCCGCGCTGAGGTGTGATCGAGTTCCCCATCCCCACCCGCGCTGAGGTGTGATCGAGTTCCCCATCCCCACCCGCGCTGAGGTGTGATCGAGTTCCCCATCCCCACCCGCGCTGAGGTGTGATCGAGTTCCCCATCCCCACCCGCGCTGAGGTGTGATCGAGTTCCCCATCCCCACCCGCGCTGAGGTGTGATCGAGTTCCCCATCCCCACCCGCGCTGAGGTGTGATCGAGTTCCCCATCCCCACCCGCGCTGAGGTGTGATCGAGTTCCCCATCCCCACCCGCGCTGAGGTGTGATCGAGTTCCCCATCCCCACCCGCGCTGAGGTGTGATCGAGTTCCCCATCCCCACCCGCGCTGAGGTGTGATCGAGTTCCCCATCCCCACCCGCGCTGAGGTGTGATCGAGTTCCCCATCCCCACCCGCGCTGAGGTGTGATCGAGTTCCCCATCCCCACCCGCGCTGAGGTGTGATCGAGTTCCCCATCCCCACCCGCGCTGAGGTGTGATCGAGTTCCCCATCCCCACCCGCGCTGAGGTGTGATCGAGTTCCCCATCCCCACCCGCGCTGAGGTGTGATCGAGTTCCCCATCCCCACCCGCGCTGAGGTGTGATCGAGTTCCCCATCCCCACCCGCGCTGAGGTGTGATCGAGTTCCCCATCCCCACCCGCGCTGAGGTGTGATCGAGTTCCCCATCCCCACCCGCGCTGAGGTGTGATCGAGTTCCCCATCCCCACCCGCGCTGAGGTGTGATCGAGTTCCCCATCCCCACCCGCGCTGAGGTGTGATCGAGTTCCCCATCCCCACCCGCGCTGAGGTGTGATCGAGTTCCCCATCCCCACCCGCGCTGAGGTGTGATCGAGTTCCCCATCCCCACCCGCGCTGAGGTGTGATCGAGTTCCCCATCCCCACCCGCGCTGAGGTGTGATCGAGTTCCCCATCCCCACCCGCGCTGAGGTGTGATCGAGTTCCCCATCCCCACCCGCGCTGAGGTGTGATCGAGTTCCCCATCCCCACCCGCGCTGAGGTGTGATCGAGTTCCCCATCCCCACCCGCGCTGAGGTGTGATCGAGTTCCCCATCCCCACCCGCGCTGAGGTGTGATCGAGTTCCCCATCCCCACCCGCGCTGAGGTGTGATCGAGTTCCCCATCCCCACCCGCGCTGAGGTGTGATCGAGTTCCCCATCCCCACCCGCGCTGAGGTGTGATCGAGTTCCCCATCCCCACCCGCGCTGAGGTGTGATCGAGTTCCCCATCCCCACCCGCGCTGAGGTGTGATCGAGTTCCCCATCCCCACCCGCGCTGAGGTGTGATCGAGTTCCCCATCCCCACCCGCGCTGAGGTGTGATCGAGTTCCCCATCCCCACCCGCGCTGAGGTGTGATCGAGTTCCCCATCCCCACCCGCGCTGAGGTGTGATCGAGTTCCCCATCCCCACCCGCGCTGAGGTGCGCCCCCCCAATCGGAGGTGCGCCCCCCCAAGCGCTGCGCACTGCCTGCGTGCACGCATGCAACACTGCACCTGATTTGGCATCCCCCATCCGCTCTCCCCCCTCCGCCTCCCCATCCCCTCCCCCCATCCCCCCCCCCTGCAGGTGGCGGACACGGCGGAGGCGGTGCATCAGCAGGCGGACGCGCTGATGCTGTCGGGGGAGTCGGCCATGGGGCAGTTCCCTCTTAAAGCCCTCGACGTGCTGCGCACCGTTGCAGAGCGCTTCGAGGCCATCGAGGAGGGGCAGGGCGGATACGAGGGGGGCCCCGGTGCGGCGGCCACGGACGGGCGCACGGCGGTGGAGCGCGTGGCGCTGCTGCCGGAGCTCTCGCACTCGCTGCGGGACCGCATGTCCGAACAGATCTGCGCCGCTGCTGCTCAGATGGGTGCGTGCCGCCCCACTGCCTGTGTGGCGCCGAGCGCAGGGGGTGGTTGGTGATTGCAGCGTGGAGGGTGCATGTCTCGTCATCCCAGGGATACATTCAACTGCACATGTACCCCACACTACCTCAATACCTTCCCATTCTCTCCCTGTGTTCGCCTCCTCTCGCCATTCTCCCCCCTCCCCGTGCCCACTCTGTGCAGCCATGCGTCTGGGGGCAAAGGCAATAATCGCCTTCACCCAAAGGGGCTACATGGCGTCGTTGCTTTCGCGCTGCCGCCCCAACTGCCCCATCTTTGCCGTCACGCCCTCCCAGGTACGCCCTCCCAGGTACGCCCTCCCAGGTACGCCCTCCCAGGTACGCCCTCCCAGGTACTCCCTACCCCTGTTGCAACGTATCTTGTATAGATGCCTTGCAATGTGCTCTAACCAACTTCCACCTGCCTCCTCCCCCTCCTGGGCTCATTGCGTTCACCTTCCCGCTCACCCTCCGCGGCCCTGTCCTGCTCAACCCCTCCTTCCCCTCCACCAGGCGGTGAGGCAGCACATGAGTGTGTACTGGGGCCTCGTGCCATTCCGCCTCGACCTCTCAGACGACGCCGAGGACAACATGCGGCGAGCCTTCGCCGTGCTCAAGGTGGGTGGGGCAGAGGGGCAGGGCAGGCGGTGAGGTGTGCGAGCATGATGTGTACGAGCGTGAGGTCTACATGATCCACGGGATGACCCTGCCTTCACACTGCGGGTCTGAATCTGCTGTGCCGAACGGGTTGCAGGGATTGAGTCCAGCACTCTACAGTCCTTCCACTCCACCTCCCTCTCTGCCTTGCACTTCCCTCCCCTCCTCCCTCCTCTCTGCCACTCTTCGCCTCTCCCTCTCACAGCACCACGCCGTTTCCCCCTCTCAGCCACTCCCCCACCCCTCTTTTACAACCCCTCGCGTCGCCCCCGCCCCAACCCGTCCCCCACCCCCCCAGGCGAGGGGCCTGGTGGCAGAGGGCGATCTCATCATCGCCGTCTCTGACGTGGCGGGCGGGCAGGAGGCCGTGGGGGCCAGGCAAAGCGTGCAGGTCCGCAAGGTGCTGTGACCTGCTGTGCGCTGCTGTGCGGTGCTGTGAAAGTGAGGCACACACGCGCCCAGCAGGGACCTGCTGTGAGGTGACACCCTTGCTGGGCGTCTCTTTTTATGTGCTCAGTTGCATGCTGCATGCTGCAGCAGGGAGGGCAGGGGGGGAAGGCAGCCTGTAGTGCAAGCAGCCCTCACACGCTCCACTCCACCAGAGGCTGCCGTCGGCTCTAGGCTGACGGCGTAGTGTGGCACTGCGGCCATCCACCCGTATGGCTTGCTGCCCGTGCTATGTAAGTTCAATAATGGTGGGAAAGTGATTCTTCCTGGTTTGCAACGGCACTTGCTTCAAAGCATACTGCCTCTAGCCGTACAAATTGGTGTTGTAGGTGAACTGAACTGCTTTAGTCTCAATGCTTGTCCATGATATCAAGAGATAGGTTGTGCACAACACGATGCTGTGACATACATACAGCTTCAGAGAAGTTACAATACATGATAGACATTTCAGAATCCCCGCCTTCCCTTCTACGGTACTCCGAAACCCCAACCATGTTGTCAATGCCCTCAACCGAGCCTTTAGAATTGTTACTGTGTGTTATAAATGAAGAAAGTGACGTGACGCAGCACACCCATTTAGATGAATCCTTCCAGTTAATCCATGCCTCTAGTTGACCTTGGGTTTGATCTTCCTCTTGCGCAGCAGCACACAGAGCAGCAGCAGCAACAGCACAGACAGGCAGCAGAGCAGCGGCAGCAGCCCTCCTCGCACCTGCAGGCGCCGCTGCTTGGTGCAGCGAGCCGGGTGCAGCAGCGCCACCACCTCCCGCACCTCCCCCTCCCACCTGCGTGTGTGGGGTGGGGTGGCATGGGGGTTGGTGTGGCAGAGTGTGGTGGGGTTGCAGGAGAGAAAACGGGTAACGATGATCCAGGCCCAGGGCGAGGAGGTGGGAACGGGCAAGGGGAGCGGGAGCAGCAGCACTCACATAACACACCGCACACGCCAAGCCCCTCGCCTCCCATCACAGCCCCATCACCCCAGCACCATACCTTGCAGCAGCGGTCTCAATGCCTGGCAGCAGGTGCAGCGCGCCCCCATAGTCCATGGCCTCCACCGCTGCCGCCACGCGCCGCCACCCCTCCACCACCGCATTGTACTGCCCCGCTAGCTGCCGCTCCCACCGCTTGAACACCGCATACGTGTCCTCGTCTGATTGGATGGAGTGGAAAGGGAAGGGGGGAGAGGGGGTGGGTCATGCTGTAACACCGTAGCCATGACTGTAGCAACGATGAGAACCGAAAAGTGCAGATGAGGCGTGGTGACTGCATGGAAGAACGACGACAGCAAACGGCGTATCACTCCACGCAGCAGCAGCACAAACAACCATGGTCCCTTGAGCAGCACAACACTCGGCACACCCAGCACCCAACAAGTTGTAGCACAGCGCACATACATCCCAGCAGACAGGTAGGTACACAGGCAGGCGAGGGGGAACTCACTGGTGGTCTCAGCAGCGAGGTGTGCAATGGCACGGTTGACGGTGGCAACAGCCTCGTCCAGCGCTGTCACCACGAATGACCGCGCCATGGCGTCCTGTTGCAGTGATGACACATGAGCGCTGCTCGCCCCTCCTCCTCCCAGCAGGCCCCCTCCGATGGCCGCCAAGGGATGCCCCCCCGCCGCCCACCGCCAGTCCTGCATGGGTGCAGTGCGGTTGAGAGGTGGTGGATTGTGGTAGGGTGAGGTAGTGGGGTCAGGGTAGAAATGATGAGGTCTCGTGAAACAGAACAAGGTACCTGAGGGAACCACCACCTAACATTCAGCACACAATCTATGAAAGCCACCACAAAGTCACCTGAGAGGCATCACAAGAATCACCTGAGAGGCAGCACAAGAATCACCTGAGAGGCAGCACAAGAATCACCTGAGAGGCATCACAAGAATCACCTGAGAGGCAGCACAAGAATCACCTGAGAGGCAGCACAAGAATCACCTGAGAGGCAGCACAAGAATCACCTGAGAGGCATCACAAGAATCACCTGAGAGGCATCAAGGGAATGACCTGAACGACAGAGGAGTGGGCGGCGGAGAAGGAAATGTGAGCTGGCAGTAGCCCTGCCAGGTGCTCCATTGTGGCCGCTAGCACTGCTGCCAGGGGGTCACTGGGAGGGGAAGGAGTGGGGAGGAGGGCAGGGGGGAGAAGGAGCAGGAAAGAGTGAGATTTGGGAATGAGGAATAGGGGAAACGAGGTATGAGAATGGTAAAAAGGGGGCGGAACTGGTGGCATGGCGTGATGGTGGCAGCGCAGGCTGGCTGGCACACTGCACTCGGCAGCATAACACAACACAGCCCAGACCTGGGGTGACCCCAAACCCATGGTCACACAGAGCAGCAAGCAGGCGTGCATGTGACACCCACCGCAGGTCAGCGTGCATCTCTTTGCCGTTGCAGGTGACGCCGGTGGGCCAGTGGCGCTGCGGCAGCTGCACTGAGAGCACCATGTCGGGCAGTGACTTGGCGAGCAGCGATTGGTCGATGAGGATGGGGTCGGACGCGATGGCGAAGAAGAACACCGGCACGTCCAGCTGCGCGCGCTCCCCCCGACTGCGCTTCACTGCACACGGGTGGATGGAGGGACGAGAGGCACAGAGGGTGTAGCGGTGGACGCGGAATGGATGTCAGAGAGGTGCGCAAGGATGTGAAGCGTGCTGAGGGCTGTAAAACGGGATGGGGGAGGCAGAGGGAAAAGAGATGCCGAGTGCATGCGACTGGGGAGAGGAGAAGCAAGGAAGGAGGTGAGTAAGCAGGAGAGAGGGAATCGAGCGGTGTGAAGATGAGGAGGCGAGGAGGAGGTGGTGTGGCGTCATGCAATGAGGCCCCGCAGCGAGTCCCAGCACATCTCGTGTCCCATCCCTGCTGTCTCACATCGCTGCAGGCTGTCGTCCCCCAGCGAGCGCAGCTGGTGCTGCAGCACGTGCGAGTCCACGTACAGCTGCACGCGCCCCCCCGCTGACGCCTTGCCACCCGCGGACGCGGAGGGCAGCACGGCGGCGCGCAGCGAGGCGGAGAAAGCCGTCGCCAGGGCCGCGTCCTCCGCCACTGACAGCCTGGGGGGGGAACAGGGGGACGAGGGGAGGTGGGAGGCGGGGGGGTGGTGAGGAAAGGTAGGGGCGAGAAAGGAAGGGGTGAAGTGGATGGAGGCGGAGAAGGCCGTTGCCAGGGCCGCGTCCTCCGCCACTGACAGCCTGGCGGGCAGAGGGTCGCGGGTGGAAGGTGGGGGGCGGATGGGGTGGTGAGGGGAGGTTGGGGCGAGTGGGACAGGTGGGTGGTGGCAGTGGGTGCGGTGAGATGTGAGCGGCATGTCAGGAAGCCCAGGCAAAGGAAGCAGGAGGTAATGCGAGTGGAGATGAGCAGCAGCCTGGCTTTCACCACCCGCCCCACGTGCACTCACGCACCGGTAGGTGGAGAAGTGGAAGCGCTGGCCCGGCAGGCTCAGCTTCTGCACCTCCGCCTTGAAGTCCTCCACGTACTGCGGGGTGTGGCGCCTCTCGTAGTACGCCTGGCAGAGGGGCATGCGCGAGGGGAGAAGGGTTGGCCATGCATGAGGTCGCAGTTGTGATGTGATGTGCACCCATGCAGGCTTGCCATCGCTATCTCTTCACCTGATGCCATGCCAAGCCACGTCAGCCATGCCACGCCTTGCCACACCATGCCACGTCACCACAAGCGCCCCACCTGGTGGGAGATGATGTAGAGGTGGAAGGACACGCGCTCGTAGAAGTGGTACGCGCCAGCAGCCGTGGACGGCGTGATGACGTGGCGCATGGCGGACGCCAGCGTGGCCGCCAGCTCAGCCATGAGCATGTCCCACGCACGCGTCACTGCAGGGCTGCTCTCCCCCGCCTCGCCCTTGCCCGCATGCCTGTCGGGCGGCACGCTTTGGAACTTCCAGCTGTGCAGGCGCTCCAGTGCCGCCCGCACGCTGCGGCCCGTGAAGACGCTGCCGGCCATGCCACTGCCGCCCTGGTGCTTGGCGAGGTCGTCCTTCACCTCCTCCAGCTTCTGCTGCAGCTCTGCACGCGCACACACGCGGGACAAGGGCGAGGCCGGCACGAGGGGTGCAGTGGTGTTGGTGGGCACTGGAAACATGGCGGTGCTCTTGGTGCGTGCACCCAACATGCACCACCCAACCCAAACCATCCGCCCCCATTGAAGCAAGCATCATGCAATGCATGCACGAAAGCAGGACCAACCACCCCTTGCACCCACCCACCCACCGCGGCAGAGAGCGCTGGGAACGGCGCGGTGAGAGCAGTGGCGGGCGGCGAAGGCGTGGTAGACGTCGAGCTCCGCCAGCAGCACGTCCACCGCGTGCTGCCCCTCCCCGCCCTCCCCCTCGCCCTCCTCCACCGCCTCCAGCCGCTCCTCTGCCATGCGCTCCAGGCGCCCCCTCAGGTCGCCCTCCCACGCCTCTGCTCGCCGCACAGCGCACACACGTGGGGGTGGTCGATTGAGAGGACACGACAGCAAGGGGTTGACTGGGAGAGCCACACGGTGACATGTGAGTGGTGTGAAACGGGCAGAGTTGGTGCCGGTGAGGTGAGGCGGGGTGACAGCAGGATGGGGTGGAGTGCGGTGGGGGGTGTGCAGGGAGGGGTCAAGGTAGAGTCGCACTTGCGTGGCATGTCACCCTTACAGGCACATCTGTGTTCGCCCGGTTACACCCATGCGCCCACCCACCCATGCGCCCACCCACCTGTGCGCCCACCCACCTGTGCGCCCACCCACCTGCGCGCCCACCCACCTGCGCGCCCACCCACCTGTGCGCCCACCCACCTGTGCACCCACCCACCTGTGCGCCCACCCACCTGCGCGCCCACCCACCTGTGCGCCCACCCACCTGCGCGCCCACCCACCTGCGCGCCCACCCACCTGTGCACCCACCCACCTGTGCGCCCACCCACCTGTGCGCCCACCCACCTGTGCGCCCACCCACCTGTGCGCCCACCCCGCCCCACAGCACCCACCTAAGGAGGCATGCGAGAGGGCATGGAAGTAGCGGTCTACGGAGGGTAGGCTGGCCTCCGACCTCACTCCCCATGCTGCACTGCCACCCACCCCCACATCCACCGCTACCACGCTGCTGCTGCTCCACCCATCCCCCATGACACTGCTGCTGCTGCCGTTCCCTCCTGCCCCACCAGCAGCAGCACCAACAGCCGCAGCAGCAGCAGTGTTGAGAGGTGCAGTGGGGGTGGTAGCGGCAGCAGCGGGGCGGTGGGGGGCGGGGGAGAGAGGGCCCCAGGAGAAGGGGCCAGCAGACAGGTCCATGAGCGCCCACCTGGTGGTGAGGACGGGGGTGTTGAAGGGGGGTGAGGGTGGGGGGCACGGATGGGGAAGTAAGCAATGACGCACACAATCAGCCTGCCTCTGCTTCCATCCAACACCCCCATCCATCCACCCTCCCATCTAATCCTTTGCTTCCCCTCCTCCCATCTCACCCCCTTCCACTCTCCCCACATCCCCTCCACCATCCCCCCTCCCATCCCCTCCCTCTCCACCCGTCTCCCCTCCGCCCCACCTGCGGGTGCCAATCCACGTGTCAGTCAGGCACTGCTCCTGCCAGCTGGCATCGGCCTCTTGTAGGGCGGCGCGCAGGGCGCGGGCGCGGCGGGGGTCCCCCGAGGTGAGCAGCTGCTGCGCCTTGCGGGCGGCGTTGGCACGCGGGTCTCCCCGCTCGCTCACCACTCGCTCCACTGTGCCCAGCAGCGCTGTCACCCGCGCCGCCCATGGCAGCTGGACGGATGTAGGGGTTGTGGGTGGGTAGGGATACACGGGAGGGAGTAGAGGGGAGGGGAAGGGAGAAGTGGCAAGGGGCAAAGAAATTGTGTCTCCCGCCTCGCTCACCACTCGCTCCACCGACCCCAGCAGCGCTGTCACCCGCACTGCCCACGGCAGCTGCACGCATGCACAGTGGGTGACGGGGGGAGAGGGGAGGGGGAAGGGGGGAAGGAGAAAGAAGGTTCAGTTTGAGAGAGCGAGGACTCCGTTCTGGGCACATTGCCTCTTTATGTGGTCAGAATGAAGATGGATGGTTGGTGCAAGTGCGTGCATGTACACACCCCTGCATGCCACAACACTCTGCACCCCAGCAGCAGCGACCTCAGCTCAGCGCAAGGCCTCTGTCAGCGCTTGTTGCATCTCACGATTTCATGTGGCTCGATGTAGCGCCATGCGAGCTTGTGACCCGGACGAGAGGAGAAGAGCGGCTGTGGCACGTGCTGCTCGTCTGCGTTGGGTTAGAGGGTTGGCGCGGAGAGGCGAGAGGCGAGAGGGAAGAGGGAAGAGGGAAGAGGGAAGAGGGAAGAGGGAAGAGGAGTGAGGAAGGAGGTGGAATGAGGGAGCAACATGCAGACATGGCAAAGCCCTGCTCAAACAGCATTCCAGGAAATGACTCGCTAAAGTGGAAGCTTTTATAGCATACAGCTGCAGTCAATGAGCAGCCAATAGAGGGAGGCGCACGGCAGTGCAGTGAACCATCACAAGTACAGGCACTCACCCAGCACCTGCGGCACCTTCTCCAGCCCTGGCGACAGCAGGTGCTGCCTCATGCGGTCATCCTGCCGCCAGGATAGCAGGAAGCACAGAGGCGCAGGGAGCGGGGGAAAGGGCAGATGGACGGGAGGCAGAGGGGCGGGGGGGCAGGGGTGTGCCGTGGTATGAGGAAGGAATGAAGGGAGTGCTGAGGGTGGGTTGGAACGGGAAGGCACAGAGGGCATTGCCAGGCTTGGGGCGAGGGATGATGCGCGGTGGGGTGGGGGATGCAAGGAGAGGGCTGATTGCTGATGCATGGGTGGGTGAGATGCATGTTGATTGATGGTGCATGGTGCACAGGGCATGGGGCACGGTGCACGGGGCATGGGGCATGGTGCACGGGGCATGGGGCATGGGGCATGGGGCATGGTGCACGGGGCATGGGGCATGGGGCATGGTGCACGGGGCATGGGGCACGGGGCATGGGTCATGGTGCACGGGGCATGGGGCATGGGGCATGGTGCACGGGGCATGGGGCATGGGGCATGGTGCACGGGGCATGGGGCATGGTGCACGGGGCATGGGGCATGGGGCATGGTGCACGGGGCATGTGGCATGGGGCATGGTGCACGGGGCACGGGGCATGGGGCATGGTGCACGAGGCATGCATGGGGCATGGTGCATGGGGCATGGGGCATGGTGCATGGCGCATGGTGCATGGTGTATGGTGCATGGTGCATGGTGCACGGGGCATGGGGCATGGGGCACGGGGCATGGGGTATGGTGCACAGGGCATGGGGCATGGGGCATGGTGCACGGTGCATGGGGCATGGGGCATGGGGCATGGGGCATGGGGCATGGGGCATGGGGCATGGTGCATGGTGCATGGGGCATGGTGCATGGTGCATGGTGCATGGGGCATGGGGCATGGTGCATGGGACACGGGGCATGGTGCATGGTGCATGGTGCCTGGTGCATGGTGCATGGTGCATGGTGCATGGGGCATGGTGCATGGAGCATGGTGCATGGGGCATGGGGCATGGCATGGTGCATGGGGCATGGTGCATGGTGCATGGAGCATGGTGCATGGGGCATGGGGCATGGTGCATGGGGCATGGGGCATGGTGCATGGTGCCTGCTGCACGGTGTATGTATGGCGCATACCGACTTAAGCATGTTGAACTCCGCATTTGACAGGCCGAGCCTGCAACAAGGTCATACGCAGGGGAGGGGCGAGCGGGGTGGTATCGGGTGAAGGGGCGAGAGGAGCGGTTCAGAGTCAAAACCATGAGGAGGTCAAACACGAAGGGCAATCCCTATATCATGCCACCCCACACCACGGGCTCACCTGTACCCGTATCGCTTGCGAGCGCGTGCGCGGTTGAGGTTGAGCACAATCACATTGTAGGCGGAGGCATCGAGCTGCAGCGAGTCCACCAGGCTGTCCACCACATGCGCCATGGCGCCCATGTCCACCTGGTACCAATGCTGCTGCCCCGCGCCGCCCGTCCCGGATGATGATGCGGAGGAGGGGTGGTGGGGGTGCGGGGGCGAGTCGGCGGGGTCGTCGTCGTCGTCGTGGGAGGCGGCAGCAGCGGTGGGGTCGTCGGGGCGGGAGAGTGTGCGCACTGCTGCTTCGAACACGGACGCCACGCGCTCGCCCATCTCCATCACATGCACCGTGTAGCTGCACGGGGGAAGATGGGGTATGCATGCACGGCGCGGCACACATGTGAGACGCAGCACAGGGAGGATGAGGAATGGCAGGGAGGGCACGGGGTAGTAGCACAGCAGCGAAACTCATTCCCAGGCATGATTCATGGCAGGTGGTCAGAGCAGAGTGAGACTCCCACCAACCATGCTTGAACGAAAAGACAAGGTCACTCAAACAGGTATGGTGGAGTGGAGCGAGGGAGCAACAATGAAACACAGGGAGCAACAATGAAACACAGGGAGCAACAATGAAACACAGGGAGCAACAATGAAACACAGGGAGCAACAATGAAACACAGGGAGCAACAATGAAACACAGGGAGCAACAATGAAACACAGGGAGCAACAATGAAACACAGGGAGCAACAATGAAACATAGGGAGCAACAATGAAACACAGGGAGCAACAATGAAACACAGGGAGCAACAATGAAACACAGGGAGCAACAATGAAACACAGGGAGCAACAATGAAGCACAGGGAGCAACAATGAAACACAGGGAGCAACAATGAAACACAGGGAGCAACAATGAAACACAGGGAGCAACAATGAAACACAGGGAGCAACAATGAAACACAGGGAGCAACAATGAAACACAGGGAGCAACAATGAAGTACAGGGAGCAGCTCACTTGTAGTGCACGCTGCTGATCAGCGGCAGGTCATGCTCTAACCCCTCCCCCTCCCCCTCCCCCTCCTCCTCGTCGTCATCATCATCACTGCGCACCAGCTCGCCGCCCGCCCCCATGGTGTGAGAGAGGCGGGCGAGGAGGGAGGGCCAGTTGAGGGGCGCGCGCGTGTGCTCCTCCACGTGGTCCATGCGCTGCAGCCACCGCCTCATGTCGCCCTCCCTCATGCGCATGCCTGCATGCACACGGTGGGTGGGTGGGTGGGTGCCTCGAGGGTGAGTTGATGCACGTGGGCACTGAGCATGTGGGTTGGCGCACAAGTGTGCACAAGTGAGCATGGAGTGAGGGAGTGCATGCGGGTGCGTGGGGTTGCATGGGGGTGCAGTCCATAGATTGCAACCTGCAGTCATTGCCACCCACCGTGCCCGCGACCCACCGTGGTCACCAGAGCCATTAAAGCCAATGAAGATGAGGTTGACGGGGATGGGCACGTGGATGGCGCGCACTGCCTTCAGCCCCAGGTACTCCGCCAGGTTGCCTGCCACCCGCCCCCATTGCACCACCCAATACAGTCACACAGGGGTTGAAGCGAGAGTGAGGACAGCGAGGGTGGAGAGGGCTGGGGGGGAGACAGTCATGGAATTTGCAGGGTGGCGCTGCTGCAGGGAGATGTGCCCTGCATAGCTGATAAGATATGATCTGATCTGATCTGATCTGATCTGATTTGATCTAATCTGATCTGATCTCACATGATGCCACCAGCCAATCCGGCCATGCCCAAACACACGCTTTGCAACGGCTCAAAGCTCAAGGGTGGGGCACGCCGCACGCACCTTGCTTGACGTAGTGGTCCACCTCGTTGTACCCGTTATAGAACTTGCTGGGCCGCTTCAGGTCGTCCCAAGCTGCAGCCGCGCATCGTCACGCGCGTTGACAGGGCGGGGCGAGCGGGAGGAGGGGGAAGCAGCAGGGATGAGCAGGGGGGGATGGGCACAAGGAGGAGCAGGGAAGACAGAGATAAGGAAGACGGAAAGAGGGAGACTTGTTAGCGGGAATGAGGGAGGGTGAAGAGCTGGGACGACGGGCGATGGGAGTGAGGCAAGGGAGCTTCGCTGAAAGAGGGGTGATAGGCAAGGGAATGTGCGCAGCAGGGATAGGAAGCACATAAGCGTTGGGGGAGGGATAGAGGGAATGAGGAGCACCATCCTTGTCCACGCAAGGTGGATGCGGCTGGGCACAGCAAGATAACACTGTGAAGAGGTCAACGGAGGAACGAGGGTGGCGAAAGCAAGGAGCGTGACGACACCGTACATTGCAGCAGCAAATCATCGTCGGACAGCTGGCCCTCGTCCTTGGCGTCGAACATCGCGAACATCTCGTCCTTGAGATTGCCGCTGCGCGCCGCGTGCACCTGCCACCAACGATCGCGAAGCGCGATTCACTTCAACTCGTCAAACAGTGAGTCGACCCGAAAGCGGACGAAAGTCCAAACATTCAATGGCGATATTTGGCGAAAGGAGGACCACGTCAGGAAGCACAGAGTGACAACCTTACCTGAATCCCCGCGTCCCATGCTGCTGCGATCAGCACCGAAACCACAAGCAGGACCTGACTCAATCTTCTTTCATGTTTCTCAAACCCTAATGTCCCCATCGCGTGTGGATAGGGAACGTCACAGCTATGGCGGCCCTATGCTGCGCGCATCACGCGGCAGCTCTAATCACTACCAGGTCGCAAGGAGCCAGGTTCTCTGCGTGCCGCCGTAATAGACACACGTGAGGTCCGCGCTATAAGCTGTGAGCGGTTGGAAACTGAAACATGCAATCCCAAACATATAGTGAATAGAACTTTTCGTAACTGATGTTAAACTGAGTGCAGCGAACACGACATTTCACCACCTCTGCATTTATCGCAACTCGTGCTGCTTGTTTCGTGCTGTTCTTTTCATGCAGAGTAAATTATTCGCACGACGACAAGCTCTCCAACTGGGTGGGTCACGTTTTGCTGGCTGAGCCTTCCGCATTGGACTGGCTGCATTGCTGTCGAAATCGTCGGCCCCCCTTCCCCCCTCTCCCGCGATCTCCACAACTGTGGGAATGCGCGCCGTACGTTGACCATTCTTTGCGCGACATTGATGACCTGCCCCCTCTGTTTTCCGCCTCCCCCCCAAACCCTCTCCCCCATCCCTCCCAACCTGACACGTCCCCTCGCATTCCCTTCAGCGGCAATTGGAGGAACGCGCCACGAAAAACTACACAATCGATCGAATGTGACTGTATTTTCTACAAAAAGCCTGCTGCACTACGCAACACTGGGCGACACGGAAAACACCTGCCCCGCCAGTCGTTTGCCCACTGCCCCCCTCCCCACCTTCGAGATCGCACGCTGTTCCAGCCACCAGCGCAGGCGCAGCCCCATCCCGTCCAGTCCAGCAGAAATGGCACTGTTTCCCCTTCCCTCCCCCGCGCCCACGTCGTCCAAGCCCAAGGCATCCTCACTGCAGCACAGTTTCTTCGCCCTACATATCCATTGCGCTTTAGGAGCAAGTTCCAGGAGATGCTGGCCGTGTAAGGTTAGATTGCAACAGCTTCAGTTTCAGAGGGAGGCTGCCTGGTTAAAGCTGAAGTATACATTTGTCATCCAGGTTTTGGGTTTAGAAAGTCACCTCACGGTCTCACAGGCAAACTTTCAAATTTCAAAAGTTTTTGAACCCCTTCTGTCAAATGTATACGAAAGCTTTAACGAGATGATGACAACTATCTCGCGCGATCCCGACCTGCCGTTCGATCCGGACAACGCGCGGGCTGCCTTCCATCGTAGGAGCTTGTCGCTCGCGACAGCAACCTCGCATTTGCGGGATGCGAACCAAGCTTGGGCGTCGCCCACCCTGTTCGTTCCCCCACCGCACTCGCCGCTGTCACAACTCCCGCCTTTGCTAGAAATCTGCGGCAACGACGCAGCCGCGGTGGATGGCGCTGACGCAACACGGCGGAAAGATGCGGCGGGGGAGCAAACGGCCGTAGACGCGGCATTGCCAGAAGCTGTCGGCGGCAGGACCAACGGATACCTTCGGGGCGACGAGGCGTCCCGGCGGCCGCTTGGCCGAACCCGCTCTCAGGCCATCGGGCCGACTCACCAAGCGCCGCGAGCGAATCTCCTGGCGTCGCCTTCGCAGCGCTACGATTCGTCCTCATTCTCGGGAAGCTTGAAGGAGAGGACGAGCGAACACGCGGCGCGCATTAGGAACATGATGCAGAAAGAACGACTCGATTTCTTGGAACCACCGTCGAACGCGCAGCCCGCGACTGTAAAGGATGACCCGCGCGCGCTTGCGGAAGGACTGCCCTTGAACTCTCCGCAGCTGCCGCAGCAGCAAAATGCTAACGGCGAAATGTCAGCGCAAGCGACGGTTTCGCCGGGGGGACACCGGCGGGGAGGTAGTAACCAGTTGGGGGGGCTGCAGGCACATCTGCCGCACCTCCTGGCCGCGACCACGCTGAGTCGACGTGGCAGCATCACCAGCAGCCACGCAAGAGACAGCAGCTACGGCAGCGGGATCAGCTTCAGCGGCAGTAGCGGAAGCAGCGCTAGTGGCGTGAGCGGCGCTAGTGGCATCAGCGGTAGGACCAGCAACGCAGGGGTACCAGCGTTTTCCCCGAACGCGGTAGCAGTCGGATCAGTCACCGTCGCCCCCGCCTCTTTTAGTCCGCAATTCGCCAACCCTTTCTCTACCGATGGCCAAACCCCCTCTCTAGGCTCGGTGGCTCCGGTTAGGGTAGCGCCAGTCGAACTTGAGTTACCGGGTTCACCGGCATCTTCGGCGTCGCCAGCGTGGTCGCCTTCGCCAATATCGCCACCAGAAGGCGGGTTCATTCCAACCATTCGCAGGGCAATCTCTCTCGCCGTGCAGCGCGCCAAGCCGCAACAGCAGCTGCAGCAGCAGCTACTGGTACAAGCGCATCCCGTGCTTGCGATACCGACTCGAAATGGGACAGCTGCTGCCCTCGCTGCTGACCCACCCACGGTTGAATTCTCGCCCTCGTCTTGTGCCGTCGCTCTCGGCCATGCGTCAGCGCAACCAAAGACCGCAGCCGCGCTTTGTCCCAAATGCGGCCATACCATGGCCCCCGCGGCTTCTTCCCCCGACGAAGGGCGGGAATCCGCGCAGGGGCGGAAGGGCCGGCGGCGCGTGCCGGCTGCGGCGGTGGAAGCGGCGGCGGCGGCGGCAAAGGCCGCGCAAGCCGCCGCGATGGCCGCAGAGGCGGCTGCTGCCGCCGCGAAAGAGGCCGCCAGCGCCGCCGCCGCTGCCGCCGCGGCGATTGCGGAGGAGATGGACAGTGACTGTTGGGAGAGTGACTGTATGGGGGAAGAAGCGGGGAAGGGCGGCACAGGAGGAGTCGGGTGCGACACGGTGGCGTGCGTCCAGGCGGCAGTGGGTTCTGGCGCGAGAGGTGGGGAGGATAAGCGCGCCGAATCGGTAGCTTGCAGGGAAGGCGGGGCGATGGGTGCGGAGGGAGGGGGAAGAGCGGCGGAAGAGGGCGCAGAGACAGCGAGTGCGGAAGCAGAGGATGGAGCGGGGCAAGGCGTAAGAGGGGACAGTGAGGCTGCAACGGCGGGGCAGGGGGAGATGTGTACTGGTGAGACGGAGACGAGGGCAGGGGAAGAAACAGGCGCGGCGGCGGCGGGACGAGGGCAGAAGGCGCAAGGCAAGTACAAGCGACTGTCGCCCCGGCCTGTGGTTGTAGAGAGAAGAGGATTTTCAGATGCGCGCGCTATACAGTCACCCCCTAGTGCAGCCGCCACCATGGGCAACGAGGAAGGGGGGCCGGAGAGCGGCCGTGCGCGCGGCGGAATGGGCCAACAGTCGCCCCGGGGGCGAAAGGGGAGGGAGAGGGGGATTGATGGAGCGGAGGAGAGCAGGGGAACATGGGTGGGGCCTGGGGCGATGAACGGTGAAGATGCAACGGATAGCAGCGAAGGAGCGGACGAGATGGCGGCTGGGGATACGGGGGGTCACGAGGGATGGGAGCAGACGGAGCAGAAGGGGCAGGGGGAGCAGCGAGCGCCGTTCCCCTCGCCCCCTCCCCACGCTGAACCGCGACTGCGCGCTGCACCCCCAGCTGCCAGGCCCCTCGACGCGTCTTCTCCGCGCGCCCACTCGCCCCGGCGCCTGTCGCCCTCAGCGCGATCGCCCCGTGCCACGTCGTCTCCAAAGGCCGTGTCGCCTCGAGCAGGCGCAGGCACCCGCGCAGACACCCGCGCTGGCGGGCAGTCGGGGACAGGCAGCAGTGGCAGCGAGGGCGAGGAGTACCACACCCCCCACAGCACCCCTCCCCCGCCCAGCGACAGCCTTCCCTCCGCGCTGCACCACGCGCAGCAGCTGGCGGGGCTCCCCTTGAGCCCGTCGCTCGAGGCGTACCTTGTTGACGCGCGCGCCGACCACGCCGCGGACGGCTCCTGCGCGGAGCCTCCGGAGGCGCACGACACGGGTGAGAGCAGCGTGGAGTGCGGCGAGCAATACGGCGCGGAGGGCGGGGAGGACATCCCCCTGATTGACGACGGCCCCGTCGCCGCCCCGAGCCGCCCCCCGAAGTCGCCCAGGCCGGAGCGCGCGCTCTCCCCCCTCGCTGCGCGGGGCGCGCGGCAGCCACGCGCGCGCCAGGCGCCTGCTCGCTCGCCGCGGTCGCCCAGGACGAGAGCGGTGAAGGACGGTGCGTGGCGGTGCAAGTCCATGCAGGAGGGCTCCTCCAACCCCTCCAGCGCCGCCAGCGCCAGCCGCGCGGGCGGGTCTAGCGCCGCTGCTGCCTCCACCGCGCGCCCTGCCGCGCGCACGCGGTCCTTCCGCGAACAGTCGCCCCGCGGGACGCTGAGGAGCGCAGGCGGAGGGGGGAGGGTGCTGCGCAAGGCTGGGTCAGAGCCAGAGGAGCGGGGGGGGGTGGGGGAGGGGGTTGGGGGAAGCAGAGCAGGAAGGGGCGCGCGGGGCGGGCAGGTATGGTCGCAGGCGCGGCCCAGGTCGCCCAGGGAGGCGCCGCGGTCGCCCAGGGCGCGCTCCAAGTCGCCCACCGACGGGCTCAGGTCGCCCAGCGAGGGGCTGCGCTCCCCCCGCGCTGCAGGCAGGTCCCCGCGCCCCCTGCCTTCCCCCAACGCCGGGCTGCCTGGGAGGGACGTGGGCGCGGGGGAGAGGGGCGCGGGGGGGAGGAGCAGGCAGGCGCGGAAGGTGAGCAGCTGGAGTGGCCCGGGAGGGGGAGAGGGCGGGGGAGGAGGGGAGGGGGACGCGGAGGAGGCAGGGCGACGCACAGGAGCAGAGAGCAGAGCAGGGGGAGGGGGAGGGCGGGGAGTGGGGCAGGGCGGGTTGGGGCAGGGGGGATCGGCGTCATTCTCAGCAGCAGGGGGGGCGCGGGTGGCGGAGTTTATTCTGGGGCGCGCGTACAGGGACGTGGGGGAAGCGTACGAGGTGGGGGGGGAGCAGCTGGGCGTGGGGCAGTTTGGCGTGATCCGTGCGTGTGTGAGCCGCAGCACGGGGCAGGTGATGGCGTGCAAGGCCATCAGTAAAGAGCGCATTCTGGTGAGCCCTGCATGGGGGCAGTGCTGTGTGCCGTGCGCTGTGTTTTCCCATGTGTATGCATGTGTATGCGTGTGGGCATGTGTGAGCA